GCGTCTGCCGGTCACTGAAGGGAATGAAGCTGGCTTATGTGGGTCACAGGCAAAGCTCATAAGAGAAGCAGGTAACTTCTCAGATTGCCAAATTATCATGCCCTCAGCCTGCTCTGTTCTTGTTCTATACTTTATAAATGACACTACCTTTAGTATTTTAAAAATTGCAGTGTATGCTTGTAGAAAGCCTGGGTGGAAGTTCTCATATTCTATGTAATAGCTGGTAAATAAAAATTTTTTTGTCATGACTTCTTAAAGTTTATAGATTACATGTAATTTGACTTCTCAGTTAGTAGATGAATGGATTGAATTGAACTTAATACCATTATTTTCACTTTAACATATAGCAGTAGTTTCCTAGAAGCGATTTTTAATGACTATTCTTGGAACTTTTCATAGTTTTTGTATTTTTCCTATTTCAACCATGTTGTTTAAACTACTAATATCCAAATGATATTAAGATGATGTAGTGATAGCTTGAATAATCATAAGGATATTTTCAGAAAGAATATTGTAAAAGTTATGACCTAAGCAAAACTTTATTCTTTCACCTTTATATTTTACCGTCTCTTTCTTAGCTATGAATAAGAAAGAGCCTAGGAGTTTTGTCTACTTTCATCACTTACTACATCCCAACAACAACAAAAGAAAGAGAGTGAGAGAAAGAATTGTGAGAGGAAGGAAGAAAACCCCTGGGGCCCTACTGTCTAAGATAACTATTCCTGACACCTGGCATATATACAGTAATATTTTGCCTAAATCCTTAAACCATAAAAGGAGAACATATGCAAAATATTTTAAACAGCATCCTAAGTGATGAGGTAAAATGTGAAAGAGGCAAAATTAAGACTGGTGGTAGAAGGCAAAATGCATCTGGAAATCATTTTAATCACATTTAGAAGACAGGAGTATATATTGGATTAAATTTAATTGCCAAACATATTTGATAGATAGCTTTACGTGATGGAGTCATGGTGATTATTCTAACATCAGACCTCTTATTAGAGTTCTTATATTTAGGAAGAGTTCAGAGACAGTCACAAGAAACTACATTTTGAAAAACAATAGCCAATATTGATCTAGCATAAATTGGTACAAAACCTCCATGACTGACAATTTAGTAACAGCTTTCAAAATTTTAAGTGCATTTACCATTTGACCTAGCAACTGTTTCTGTTCTGGGGGCTCTAACTGAAACACTGGGAGGAGGAAAGACTGGTTTGTGCTGGAAGCACCCTGCTTCACAGCCCTCCAGGGTTCTCTTGTTGCTCATCACCTGTTCCAGGTGATCCCTCCTAATTCCCCTGCATCATGTCTCCTGCCACCGTGGTTTGATAACTGCTATTTGTGTACTTTTCACATTCAAAATTGTGATAGTCAGTACCCTTTTCTCTTCGATTGGCTCTTCAGGTTCCGATCAATTCCTGCCTCTCACAGTCCCAACTACAACAGCTTCATGCTTCTCTGAACTTTTTTAGAACTTGTCTGACGCCTTCTTTGGCCTCAGCATGTTGTACAGTTTATATCTCAGTTATACAATTTACACCTGGACAACTACAATGTATAATTTATATCTCTTTTTGATATTCCAAATATTATGTAGAAGACAATGTTTGCTGCACTGACCAATATGTCCCTTTCTGGGCTGTGAAACTTGGGAAATTCAGTCTCTCTCCCTGCCCCCAACTCCTGTTTCCCAGGATACCATGGCAATTGTTTGTTCATAGATGCCCCATAAGCTTGTGGAGGAGGCTGAGAATTAAGTTGCTTATTAATTCATTTAGTCTTGACCTACATATGGTTGAATAATCACAGGGCCATCTGTCCTCCTTAATTAACATGCAGAGATGAAGAGATTTCTTTCTACTTTCTGTGGATCGAATGTGAATCCTATCAAGAGGGCCCCAAAATGACTTGATGCCAAAGTCCTGCAACTGCTCCTAAGTGAAACTAACAGCTAATGGGGAGGGCTTTTGTTGTTTTTGCTTATTTTGTCTTTTAAAAAGGCCTCCTGTTATGACTAGCCCTTGCTATTTCACCAGCCAAAGGCAATCTCATAAATGAATCAGCATTAGTATATTTCCTTTCAGGTTCAAGGGAGAGAAAAAGAAGTTTTCCCAGATGGCTGTGAGTCTCATCCCCCGCAGGCTTCCACGTTTCTCATGGGGTGCTCTCACTTGGCCTTGTGAAGGAGGCAGAGTAAAGCAGTGTATTCTAGATCATTGCTTCTTGGTTATTGATGTGAACTGTGATGAGTTAAGAAGCCATCAACTTGACCCATTCTGCCAATCTATTTCTTTTCATTGGCGAATTGAAACCATTAACATTGATGGTTATAACTCATACATATTGACTTATCATTATCATGACTTTTTCTTTTTGTTGGATTCTCTCCCTTTGCTTTTAATTTCTTGTTGCGCCTGACGGATTCATTCTGCTGGGCTTCCTGAGATTGTGATCCTCGTTGTCTTTTCTTAGGATATTGTCTAAAATTTTTGGAGTGGTCGTTTGGTATTCACGAAGTTCCCAGGGTGCTCTTTGTCATGAAAGTATCTTATTTCTCGATCAATTTTGAAAGATAGTTTTGCAGGGTACATCAGTCTGGGTTGGAGGTTGTTTTCCTTTAGGACTTGGAATACATCACTCCAAGCTCTTCTTGCCTTGAGGGTTTGCGTTAAGAAGTCTGCTGTGATTCTGATGGACTTTTTGTATGTGATTTGTTTCTTTTCTCTAACTGCTTGTAGAATTTTGTTCTTCTGTTGGGTTTCTGGAATCTTAACTATTACATGCCTATGTGTAGATTTTTTTTGATCAAGGCTATTTGGAGCTAGTTGGAGTCCTATATGCCTCACTTATCTGTATGCCAAGTTCTTTTCCCCTGTTTGGGAAGTTTTCTGCCATTACTTCTGTGAACAGTTTTTTTTAAGTCATCTGCACTCTCTCCTGTTTCTTCTTTGACTCCAATCAGTCTTATGTTATTCTTCTTTGGATTGTCTAGCAGCTGCTGGATTGATTTCTCATGGTCCCTTACAATTTTGAAGCAATTTTTCTTTTCCTGGTCACTAATTGCAATCTTATCTTCTATAGCTGAAATTCTGTCCTCACATTGGCTCATTCTGCTGTGTAGACTTTCAATGGACTTTTTAACCTCCTGGAAGTCTGTTTGCATCTGTTTATGGATTCCATTTGTTTCCTATGTTAGGATTCCAGCATGTTCCTCAGCTCCTCTATTTTTTTTAATCTGTGTCCTCTCTAGACTTATTAATCATGTCTTGCACTATGGGCACAATCTCTGCTGTTATCTGAGAAATTATTTCTGATTTCATTTTTTCTAGATCCTCTTCTGTTGCCAGTTCAGGGAGTGCAGGTGGTTGAGCATCAGATTGTTCCATCTCATTTCCCTTTGGGGTTGTTTAAGTGATCTGGAAGTATGGTTTTTAGACTTGTTTAAGTGTCTTCTCATTTCAGTAGGGAGGGAGGGGTGCCTCTGGTGCCCACAGCTCACCTCCTTGCTGTTGAGGGGGAAGGGTTGGTACAGCAGGCTGGAAGGTTTACCTCCTCTGTGCTGGGGGTGGCTCTACTCAGTGCTGGGGGCAGTGGTACAGCAGCTAGGAAAGTTCACTCCTCTGTGCTGGGGGCAGCTCTTGATCCACTAATATGTTAAGATGTGCTGGTTTTAAATGCATATTTGAAACCAGAACCTAATTCTGATCTTCTCACGAAGTGCTCTTTCCAATATACCACCCTGTTGGGGTTCCCATATATCCTTGATTACAGTACCATATGCCATGTCCACTTGCCTATAATGTGACCAAAGCTGAATTATACCTCTAGGAGTGAAGGGGCGACCAGTGTGACCAGACAGACATTGTCTGGGATGTTGAAGAGGTAGAGAACTATGAGGAAGCACAAGTTTTGCATTTTTGCTTTTTTTCTTTCAAATGTGTCTTCCACACTCTCAGGTATATGTATATAAAAAGTACGACTGCCAAAACAGTCTTTAAAAGGAATAAAGTGGAAGGCTCACACTGCCAATTTCAAAACTTACCACAAAGCAACAGTAATTAAAACTCTGTGGCACAGTCATATATAGACATATAGGAAAAGGGAGTAGAATTAATTTTTAAAAAGGATGCCAGGACCTTTCAATGGAGCCGGGAGTGGTGGTGCATGCCTGTAATCTCAGCACTTGGGAGGGTGAGGCAGGAGGATTTCCATGAGTTTGAGGCCAACCTGGGTTACATAGTGAGTACAAGGTTGGCCTAAACTACACAGCAAGACCCTGGCTCAGAAAAAAAAAGACCTTTCAATGGAGAAAGGACTATCTTTCCAACAAGTGGGGCTGGGATAGATAGACTTTTGTACACAAGAAAATGAAGTTTGATATTTCATACTATATTTTTTAAAAAACCCAAAATGGATCAAAGATCTAAATTTAAGAGCTAAAACTAAAACTTTTAGAAGAAAATATAGGGAAAGTCCTCATGACTTTGGATATAACAATGATTTCTTAAGTATGACAACAAAAGCACAGATAAGAAAAGAAAAAATAGGTAAGCGGGCCAGGGATTTAGCTCAGTGGTTTCACTGCCTGCTGCACAAGTGCAAGGACCCGAGTTCAATCCCTGGTACCAAAAAATAAATAAATAAAAATAGGTAAGCTTGATTTCATCAAAATTATGAACATTTGTGGGCCAGGGATTTAGCTCAGTGGTTCCACCACTTGCCTTGCAAGCACAAGGACCTGAGTTTGATCCTCGGTACCAAAAAA